GTTGTGGCAGATGCCGCACCTCCGCTGGCCGAGCGTCGCCGCATGCCTTGGCAGGCAAAATGTTTCTTGCCTGCTGCCTCTCACGATTGGTTTGGCTGGTGGTGTCAGGCAGGGGAAACTTGCTCTTAAATGGGTCAGCAGAGAAGCGATCAGAATTACCGAATTGGGTTATTTTAACCGGTTAAAATATACGTTCAGATAACCTGTTTGTAGAACACAGTGCTTGTTTTCGTGCCGAAGTTTCTTTATAGGGTCTTTATTTGATGTAAATGGGTAAAAGATACAGCTAAAGATCTTCTTCAGAATGCTTATTTAAAAGACTGATCATTCTTGCTCTTCTTGATGGAGCCCTCCGTTTGTTATCTTGATGTAAGACTTCTCTCATTCTAGTGTTGGGTTTTGTTGAAGAGCAAAGGCTGCGTGTAGCTCAGGCGTAATTGACTTATTTGAAGATGCTTCCGTTTTACAATGTTCTGAAATTGTCAATCTGTTGTCTTTCCTCTGATGTTTTACTTGTAGATGGGGAAGCCATAGGGAGTTTGTATCATGGCAACAGCTGAGGATGGACTGGGACTGTTTGGTACCCGCTACGGTGGTAAGACGTGTTAGATTACTTTCTGTTTTGCAGTGAAGTAATGCAAGCAGTCGTATGAAAATAGATAGGTCCAAGAATAACTTAGAAAATAAAATGGAAACAACTTAAGTTGGGACAAATACTGATGAGCTTCAACTGTTATTAAATGGCTGTGGCACAGTATCGTTGTAAACCATATCCCATTAGTAAGTTTGGATTTTAAACCGTAACAGTGTACTTTGGTTTTCTACTATGTTTTGAGGGGATGCCTGGAACTGGTTTCTCTCCTGTGTTTTACAGTGTATAATTTAACCGTCTCTGTATCTTAATGAAGTGTGTATCTGAACGGTTAGGACGGTTGTTCCTTTCTTTGCTGTTGGTAAGAGCAAATGCGCTATCATCTGGTATAGTACCAGCAGTCAAGGTACTCAACGTTATTTCCAGCTCTGCAGTTGATTGATCTGATGCATATTTGTGAGATTCCCAGCCTCAGAAAGATTGTGGATGTTGATATTTGTAGTAATAGTATTTATTGCAGAACTGGAGCTATTCACATAGAGGAGGTGAGAGTGATAAGAGGCATTGGAAAAATACATGAACTGAGGAGATTTAGATGAAAATACTTTTACAGAACCAGTTAGTCTATGAATAGATGGCAATACTAAAGCAAATTCTTTGAATTATGATACAGACTGTCACAATACTTTAGCAAGAAATGTTTCATCATACTGATTATTTTTGTTTTGGAGTTGTATAATTCTTTTATTTGTGTATTCTAGAAAACAGCTTCAAATTCAGATCAAGTTGACTTAGTTTATAATTTTAAGTTTTATTTGTACTTAAAGCCATGTATTTTGCTTCATGCACAGTTCTTGTGGTATTTAGGGACTGGTCTTACAAGACTGCCTTTGTTCCCTGGTGACTAAAGTTCTTTTTTCCACAGTAGCAGTAGCTTGCTGGATAAAATTTCCCCTGTCCTTTACTAGTCTCTGCTACTACTTTTACTACGCTCTACTGGTCACAGCTAACACTTACTTTATGGGAAAGTTAGAGGTTGGACTTTACTAAATGTTTACTTTAGCCTTTTTTTTTTTTTTTTTCTTAAGCTGAAGCTTCCCCCTTCAAGGAAGGTGATGAGAGCTCAGTGGATATTTACGATGGCTTGGACAACAGTGTGACAGTTCCTGGTAGGTTGACTGTATCTTGCTGTTTGGCTTGGGGCATTATAGAGTCGCTTGTGCTTCTTAGGCTGGTTTCAAGTAAAACAACAGTTAGCTTTAAGTTTACATTTAGCTGGTGTAACATACGCTTTGGTGAGCTACTTGTTTAAATTCAAGACATACATGTTACACTCCGTATAAATACAGCAAGAATTCTTAAGTCTGTTAGCTGAACAGAGAAACCTTAGCTATTCTATCTGTGCTGTGATATAGGACATTTTACCTTGGAAAAAGCACCTTTATTTTGTGGTTTTTAAATAGCTTCAGGACCAGAACTGACAGTCACTGATTGCTAAATCCTCAGGGAAAGCTCCAAAACATACTTCCTTTGTGATACAGTTCGCTCAGTAGATCCTTTTAACCTTTTGTTACTTTATCAATAATTTCACATGCTAATGTGAATTAATTTAATCTTCAAACTTCTTTGAAGGTAAGAAAGAAATGGACCCAGCACATGCTCTTTTTTGGAGTCTTAGCATACCGTTCAATTAAATGCTGTTTCTAGTATTTAAACAAGTGTTTCTCTGCTGACGTTACTGCTCTAAGGCCATTGAATTTTTATGGAAGGACTATACTATATCCTACAGACATAAAACATCTATACATCTTTTTCTTGCTTTCCTTGTTGTATTTGTTACAGCTTATAAGAGTATTCTCTAAGGCTGTATTTCACATACTGTGATGCATTGTTTAGTAAATGTAAAATATGCAAGGAGGAATACCATAATACAATGCAAACATTTTGTATAGTCTAGTTCTGAGGAATTTTTTTTTTTTTTTTTAATGTGAAAAGAGGATTAGCGAGATTTTTGCTCTATACAGTTAAGGTGTTATTTGCATGCCATCTTGCATTGTGTTAATAATACTCTTTGTATTATGGTATTGTCCAAAGGATTGAATTGCAGCTTTGATAGCTAGCTTAATTTATTTGTCTGCAAATAAATCTGTATTTAAGAGGTGTCATAAGTCAGGTCCTGTCAGTAATGCATATCTGGTGAACAGAGCACACAGGTTGATTTGAGGAAAAAGCACTGTTACCTAAATAATTGGGGTGTTTGGCTATTGGGTTGGATTTTGGTGGGGTTTTTTTTCTTTCATTTCTTTGGAACGAAAGCTAGGGAGTTTACATTTGTGAGGGAATGTAAAGCAGCAAAGAACATTTGTTCAACACAAGAAGCATGGTATTCAACCCCATACCAACTCTACAGTAATTCCATTTGATTCTGATCAACTGATCCACGTTTGTGAATGTGTAGGTCACTGGCATCCGAGTATTCTTTTTCTTAGTAATTTTTTTTTCAACTGCAAATGTTTCCAAGGTGAGGTCTGGGCAAAAGCTGAATGAATTGTAGGATCCGCATATTTATTCTAGCTTTCTGCTATCTGTTGGCTCTGGAATTGCGGAACTTCAGATCACTGCTACAGTGTAACCCTTCTTGCTTTGTAAATTAGGTAGGTTGACTGTGAGTTAGCCCTCCTTTGACTTCAACCAACTTACTCGGCAATCATAAAATGCATACATCTTTGTTGTTAGGTGTCCTGTATATATCTTAATTTTTCAAACACAATGTTTTCAGTCGAAGTTTAATTTTCATTGTTACCTTCTATGTCGATGTAAAGTGGATCAAGTATTTCCAATAAAATTAACATAAATGTTGAAATTCAGGATAGGAATTTCTGCAGATACGGTCATGTGTTTTCCTCAGTGACACAGTGCAACCTGGCTAGCAAAACACCTTTTCCTTCACGTAATTGATTTTCTTTCTACAGAAAATTCTGCTCCAAATTCTACACCAGCTGGAAACAGCTTAAATTTATTTGATGAGATATTAATTGAAGAAGGGACTGCAAAAGAAACATCCTACAATGAGGTGTGTATTAATGTGGCAAAAATAATTCTGGTGGTTTGGGAGTTGTTTTGTTCCAAATTTTCTTCTGTAAAGTGCAAAAAAAGTCAGTATGCTCACATTATTTGAAAAAATAGGGAAACTACTTTTAAATAAGTAGAAACAAGAGTGTGCTAATAAACTGTTACATCAGTGGGTTTATCAGAATAAGTGACTCTCTCACTCTGTGACATGGTCTGTTCTCATTCAACATCCATTGCGTGTGGCTCACATATCAGCTACATTCTGGGAAAATGTACCATAATTCCCTTCTAGTTAAATATCCGTTCAAACGTCTGATACAAAGCTATTCTTGACATTTGTCCCAACAAATTTTACCAGACTAAAGCAGATAGGTTATGGATTAATCTTATGTGTCATTAGATTTTGTCCTTGAGACTGAAGACAACCATGCAGTAGATAACTACTCCTAGCAAATCAGCAGAACACTTACTCATGCAGTGTCACCTATCCTAGTCCATAAGACACATTTTTACTAACTTGAACTTTGGATTAAAAGGGACAGATGTCCACAGGTAATGCACTGTAGAAGAAGCAGGAGCAAAACCTCCAGGAGTCTACTAAGTACTGAAAGCATCACTTTGAAAGTTTGAAAGCAGTTGACTGTTAAGTATGACAGTAGGGAACTTGTCCATTCTTCTGTGAAAGTTTTGTTCACCATCTACTTTTAAAGAAAGGCTCATGCCAAATCTATTTTGTTTAATTTTGTCATCTCAACAGGAGCATGTCCTTTACAGTCTATTTTTGAAGTCCAGGTTTGTTTGTAGTAACTTTCTGTTGTGTTTTTCCTTATCTGTTTTGTATTACATAAAATCTGACAAACAAGTCCCCATCTGTAGGGCTCTGAGAATTCCTGCTCCTCCATAATCCTGTCTTTAATTTCACAATAATATCGCTTCCTGTTACTCTCTAGCCTATTACTGTTGGGCAAGCACACATAGACTTCCTCTTATCTGAGTGTTTGTGATGTTTTAGAGACTTGTATACATGTTGGAGTATTGAAGCTTTTTGTTTTAATATGGCTTTAATATGTTACTTTTGGAAAAAAACAGCTTTGTAATATACATTACTGTGTTAACCAACTGTAAATCTAGAGGAGTAACTTTTCTGTGTAATTAAGTCTACTTCTATGCTGTGAATTCTCTCTCTGACAGTTGCAGGCAGAATATGGAAAATGTCAGCAGCAAATTAAAGAGTTGATGAAGAAATTTAAGGAAATACAGGCACAGGTACTGTACTTCAAAGGGCAACATTGTCAAGACTTTTACGTAAAGCAAACTAAATATTACTTTGACAGAGAGTTAATTTTATATGCATTCCAGAATTAAGCCATCACGTGGGTGGGTTGTAAAGCACCTCTGTAAGTGCTAGGAGCTTGTTCTGCCTAGGATAGTTGCTAGGATAGCCTACTGACAAAATCAGTAGGTACATTCACTTGTTTCACGATGTTGCATGCAGTAAGACTTCAGGTGCTTAAAAGCTATCTTCTATCACCTTAATTAGAAAATAAGCATGTCAAGTGAATAGTTATCAGAAAGGTATCCAGTTGTCGTTTGTTTGTTTGTTTGTTTTTTTAAATAGGTCTTTAATGCACTAGGGAGAGGATTGCAAAGGTACCTGAGCTGTCATTAGAACTGGAAGAGGATGTTTGCATTGCTTTGAGTGTGGTGCCATTTTGATAAGGCTGAACTGCTCTTCAGCTTGAGCTAATATCCCCATGCTGTGCCATTCTATATAGTTAGATTATCTTGGGCAATTCTGCAACATTCTGTATGGTGTATTAGAGATAAGTCCTTTGAAATGGTAAGCAGCTTCTGCCCTGTGACACGTCTGTATTGTTTTCTGCAAAACTTGTCTACCTTTCTGAGCAGGCTTGGCTGAAGACAATTATTAAGAGAAGGGGCTACCTCTGGGATTGACAGATAGGGTTTTAGAACATCATATCTAGAAATGATAGAATGATAGAGCACCCAAAGTTTTGATACCCTGAAAAGAAATACAATTACCCTCTTTCTCTGAAAGTGCTTAAAACCTACATCTCTCATTTGACACAGCAACTGGGAAAGCAATAACTTGAGTAAAAGAACAAAGCGAAGGGACATAGACATGAATAATGTTTTTAAAAAAAGAAAAAAAAAAGCTCCTTTGGATCTCAATAATTCTGATGCAATTCTGGCTTCTTCAAAACAGTTTCTGTATGTTCTACTGTCAGTTTGCATATGATAGGAATTTTTCTAATGGTTATCTTGTGCTGTTTTGCATTACATGTTTGGATACCCAAGCTAATTCTCGTTTTTTTTTTCTCTCTCTCTCTTTTTGTATAAATTTAAAATAGAATATCGTTCTACAGAATGAAAACCAAGCTCTCAAAAAGAATATTTCAGCACTTATCAAAACAGCAAGAGTGGAAATTAACCGTAAGGATGAAGAAATCAGTAATCTCCATCAAAGGTACAACTAGACAGTGGAACTGAAAATGTGCTTTGTGTCTGATCATGTTTATGTACTTGTAAGAAACTTCTGCGGCTATTTTAAGTAAAACTAACGAAGAAAATCATTACTTTGTAAATAATTGTTTGTGTGGTTTAGTACTGGTACAATCAGAGGAAATAGGTATGTATCTTCTTTGCTTGATGAGGTCTTTGGTTTCTAATTAAGAAAATGCGGAGGAATCCAAAGGGTGATCATTTGCCTGAATTCTTTTTTGTTTGTTTGTTCTGTTAATCACCTGTTCCTGGGGGGTTATCTAACCATCTTGCATGTTTCAAAACAGATACTATCTTACACAGTTCAGCTTCAGAATTAGTCTATTTTATGGTCTCAGACATGAATTCCATGGAACTTTTCAGACAACAAATGAAAAAAAATAAAGCGACTATATAATGTTTTCATGGCAAGATATAAAAGCCCTGTCTCCAGTGGTGCAGGATAGCAGCTAGAGAATTCTTGGTAATTTCTGTGTATTACTAATCTTACTGCCAGGAATTGAAAATAGTGAAGTATGGATGGGAGAGCAGCTGAATGTAAGGTTTCTGGACCACTTGAAGCTACATGTATATTAGCTATGCGATATTTTTTTTTTCTAAATACTGAAAATGACCAGATATGATCTGATGGAGGATAGCTGTCATTTTCACACCTTTGAGTGTAGTATTCTGGGTTTTAAATTAAATTGTTTGAAAAATATTTTCTTGTTTTGAATACTCAGCCTCATTAAAGAGTTTACGAACTCCGTCGCAATACCTTCTGATGGTGATGAAAATTTATGAACAAGGTATTTGATCTAGGTATTTTGGAGGCGTTCATCATGGAAAACCGTGGGGAAAGTGGCACTTTGAGGCCTTAGAAGCATGCCTTGTCTGCTGCATGGTCTATAATAAATTGGCTCGTCTTAAGTAATCTACCTTTCTGTAAAGACTACTTCAAAGATAATATCTTTGAGGGAAATTGTTAGTGCTTAACTCAAAGAAAATTCAAAGCAAACTAAAAAAACCCCGAACCCTCACTTGGGTACAATTACATTGATCACACACGTATGCAGATTTAATAGTCAGTCTAAAGCATGGTGAAAACTTGTCAGTATAGTTAAAAATTAAACAGAAATATAGGAAAGGGGTTTGGATTACAACAGCTGCAGCATTGTTTTAGTTCAATGTTCAGTTCACGTCACAATGTCACATTTTTGGAGTAGAGCCAGTTGTATAAGCTGATCATTTAAATTTATTGCATCGGCACATGGGAAGTGTTCGGTTTTATAAAGCAAAGCCAACCCCATTTTGTATTGGAGACAAATACGGAATTATTTTACCCTTGAACTGATGCCTTACAACTGGACACTGAATCAACATAGAATTTCAGGCCAAACCCAACTGTCTGTGTGTAGCAGCCCCTTCATCCTTGTGTCTAGGAAGGAGCCATGCGTTCAGTGGTTTGCTGCTATCATTTGTTGGTATGACTTTTACTTCTGTTTACTTCTGCATTGGTTAGACACAGTCATTCTTTTGAGATAGCAGAGGGTATTTAAGTAGGTTGCCATTGCCTTTAACCATGTCATTTTAATGAAATCTTTTGTTGAATATGGCAGAAGAGTGTCTGACTAGAGGTTGTTTTTTCTTTTTCCTGGAGAGATAAACTTGATGAGTTCTATCAGTAATGAGTAAGAGTTCAGGCATACAGGTTACATTTCCCCTTTTTAATTAATTTTTTTGTTTTTATTATGATGACCTTGCAGCAGTAGCATGTGGCCTTGATGAGGCTTGATTATTGTAATTTACTACTTGTTTTCTGTAGCTTGCAGCCAATTCCAAACATAGTAGCTTATTTGCGTATTGGGTAGAGTAAGCACAGGCACATTATACCTATTCTTTTGGTTGCCAGTTTACCAAATAATGAACTACAGAACTGCGCTTTTTTTTTCTTTTTTTTAAATCACGAATGCTGGAAAGAACAACTTTTTTTTTTTCCTAGGGGAAGGCTCTGTCTATTGCTGGACAATGAAATACTAATTTGAATTACTGAAATTGTTAATTAGTCCCAGTACAGTATTTTTCCACAGATCTTGCTTTTTCTTTTATGAATTTAATTTGGAAAATACATATCCAAATTATATTCTTTTAATGTGTGCTAATGGAAATTATTTAACTTCTATTTTTATCCCACATTTTTTCAACCTGAAGCTGAAAGAAAGCGTGAAAAGAGATAGGATTCATTGCAATTCGGTTTTAGTTATGTTTAAATAAATTTCAAATCTAACATGACTTTTTTTTTTCTTTTTATAAACAGGCTGTCGGAATTTCCCAATCATCGAAGTAGCTTCACCAGAACATACGTTCCAGGATCAACTAATGGACGGTGCTCTGAGATGTGTAAAACAAAAGATTCCAAATTCAGACCTTCTGATTTAGGTGACAGTATAAAGACAGAGCATAGAATGAAAAATGACTGTTCAAAAGATACACACCACAGTTACTCATTTCATAATATGGACAATGGGAAGTCTAGTTCCGAAAAAAGAAACACTCCATATTTACTGAAATACCCTCCCGAAGAGCTCTGCAGTGATGGTACTCATACGTGTCTACCGAACTATGACCATAGTTCCAACAAGGATAACAGAAAGGAAAGAAAAGAAATGAAAAGTAATGAACATAGGGGAAATGTCAACAAATACAAAAGGGACATACATCAGAGCACTGGAAACAATGGTAACTGTAACAATGGTGACAGTGAAGAGGGGAACTCAGATCCTCAGCAAAAGCTGAAAACCCCTTCAGAGAAGGCTAATAAAAATGAGTCGCAGCAAAAAAGTCAGAGCGTAAAACTCAAGTGCAGTGCAAGTGTAGAAAGAAGAGTAGAGAGGGTTGTTTCTTCCTGGGAGAAACAAACTACCGGCAAAGAGAGACTTCAAACAAGAGATGAATTGTATGCTGATGAGAGATCACAAAATCTATTAAAAAAAGACACTAAAACACATGATAAAGATGAAAAAAATGCTGGCCAGAAAAATAAACCAAATGAAAAGCTGCAAGAGCAACCAAGGAAGTCTGGTAGGGGGAGTAGTCCACACTCAAAGAGTGAACATTCAAAGAGTCTTCATGAATCGCGTAAATGTCGGATGGAAGAACCTAGAAAAGGAAGAGACATTGACTGCAAGAGAGACAGGGGAACAAATGATCATACTTCTCGAGAAGGAAGGACTTCACCTCCTAATTCCAACAGCAGAGAGCATAAATACGTGCGCTTGAAGGAAAATAGTAGCAGATATGAATGGGAAACAGCACATTCCAAATCAGAAAGACACAGAACTGAAGAAAAAAGGAAAAGAGAAAGAGACAATCAGGATGAAAATAGACATTTTAGAAATGAAAGAAAAGTTGCAAAAGAGATTTCTCACCAGTCTGGAAAAGAATCCAAGAAAGGTTCAGATTGTACAAAAAGTGAGAGAAACAAGTCCTATAAGCTAGAAGAAACATACAGAGTAGCAGATAGCTTAAAAGACCATAAAATCTCCAAAACTAAAGATGATCACACTGGGACAAAAAGCAAAGACTTAAAACTTAGCTTTATGGAAAAGCTAAATTTAACTCTCTCTCCTGCTAAGAAACAATGTCTCTCTCCAACAGATGGGCTTAAAACACCTTCCCAAAAGGTCACTGATGAGGGAAGTGCAGAGCTTACGCTGCAGGCAGAACTGTTTGATTCTGCCCACCCTGTTAACTGTGGTCCCGCAGAGCAAGCTAATTCAACACTACAAGTTCTGGTCAGTGCAGCTCAAAGCAATGAGGAACCAGCACTGCCTATTTCTGTCAATTCTGAAAATGAAGCCTTGAAAGTAGCAGCAGCAGATCCAGCACAGTCTGAAGCTTTGCCAGTAGTGGCAACAGATGAACTGAGCTCAGAAGCCTTACCAGAAGCAGGTCAGGTACAGCCCCAAGCCTTGCCAGAAGCAGCAGAGGTGCTGGTTCCTGATGAGAGGCAGGCTGAAACGTCAGCAGCAGCAGAGGCTTGTGGTCTGGTGGAATTGGAACCCTCAGCAACAGCAGCAGCAGCAACAGATCTAAATCACCCTGAACCTTTGCCCCTGGAGCTGTCAGGAAGTGTGGCAGAGTGTGAAAACTTGCCTGTGACAGTGGGTGTGATGCAGGATGATAATGGACCAGCAGCAGAAGTGGCACAATCTGAACCTGCCAGTGAAAGTATGGGAACCCTTCCAGAATCAGCAGCAGAGAAGAAAGAGGAAGATAAAATATGGCTAACTGCTGACATAGAAAGCTCAGCAGACCAACGTGGCTCCCAAAACCATGTCTTAGATGACTCAGAAGCCAAAAGTTCTGGTGACCTGGAGTCCTGTGATGCCGCAGATGATACTAGCGAAACAAAACCAGACTCTTTCATGGAAGTAGTGAAGGACGATGATCACTTGGCTGCAGAAAAGGTTGAGTGTTCCGTTGAGGAAAAGGGTATCTGTGAAATTAATATGAGTACATCTCAATCACCTGACAGAACTATGTTAACTGATAAGGACGAACCATTACTTGACCCAAATGCTGGTGAACTGGACCCAGACCTAACTGAAATCAGTACTGCAGCATCTTCTCTTAGTGGTGAGATGTATCCTAGAACTAAAGAGAGAGAAACTAACCCAGTTCCTGTTGATGATGAGAGCTCAATCCTGAGCATTGATCTCAATCACTTGAGGTATATTCCGAAGGCAATCAGCCCACTGAACAGTCCAATGCGCCCTTTGGCTAAAGCCCTTAAGATGGAAAGTCCCTGCAAAGGTCTTGGGAAGAATTATAACAAAGGTATTTGTATATGTGTACTCTAATTTCTTTTCTATGTAAAGGCTTAGAAGATCCATTCGTGGAAAGCAGAAATTACTTTAACTGCTTTCTCAATAACGTAAATAGTTTCACCTTTAGCTATGTAAGTCATAGTGGTCTTTTTTGTTTATAGAGGAACTGCTTAACCATACAGTCAGGATTGTAGCCAATTGAACATTAGTGCTATAAAAATTGGGAGTTTGTCGCTGCTGACAGATAAGCGGTTGAAATAAGTTATGTACAAACTTCTAAAAAATACGTATCAGTTTCTTAATTGTGATTAGTTCTGAGTAGATCTCGTTAGGTTTTTCTCTGAAATTGTAGAGGCAAAAGTTATTTAGGATCGTATTCTTTCAAGTACTTATTTGTGAGAAAGCTGGGAAAAGTACCTGAGACTTATTTTCTAGGAATGTCAGCTAAGAGAAGGCTGTGCTTTCCATCTGTATTAATTTCAGTGTAAATTTTTATATGTATTTTATAATTGTGAGTCAGTCGGTGGGGAAAAAAAAGAGTAGAGCAAATACAACATTAAGATTTATCATTAATGAAGTAAGAGCCAACTCCTAAATAAGATGTCAGGGAGATAAAATATGGTGACAGCACTCACAGGAAGAAAAAATAGGTGACTCAAAGTTTAAATCTTTTACTTGTGTGAATTTAACTCTCCTTGTAATGCCCTGCTGCAACTAACAAAAAGTTTTCTTGGAAGTTTAGTTTTCCTACTAGAAGAGGAATGGTAGAGTGGCATTTAAATCCTTGTTCTTATGTTTTGGAGCATACTCCTTATGACTTTTTGCAAATCTTAGTGTCTGTCTCCTGTGCTTGAGATGGCTACTTTCTTAAGCGTGAATTCCTTTAGCAGTTCATATATCATTCCTACAGCAGTTTATATTCTTATAAATATCTGGGGGAACACAAGGGCTTTGGAATCAGAGTAGATGAACATCAAATAAAAGTATTTTTCTAATGTAGTGTTTCCCTGAGTTACTTACTAGAGGAATCCATCCTGTCCAGAACTTGCTACTGAAGTACAGAGCAGTGTTTTTTTAGCTCTGAAGTTAGACGCCTCCTTGTCTTTGTGATCTGACTAATGATATGCATGTCGAATGTTCTGCATCTGTTCATTGACAGGAGGCTATGGTTTCTCTTGGCCTTGAAATTCAGTACGCATCTTTCTACTGTTCTGCAGGACAGGGGTACATATATTAATGCTATAATTTGGCCACTTTCATGTTACGCTTTGGTTTGTCAAAATATTGAAGTGATTAGTTTGAGATGGTATTGATCCTTGTAAAACTGAAATGGAGGCAGTGATATGATAGGTTTTTGCTCCAGTAGAATCTGTATAAAGTAAACATTTTCAAATGTTGCTTTAAAGTGTTAATCACAGGTTCATTTTTTATGGAGAGCAATTTAGATATATTCTTTTATGACATTAAATGTTTGTTAGATGTCATTAAACCATCTAATCTATGTGCAAGTGAATATAAGAGTGTTTTTTTTAACTAGAGTGCCCAGCAAGCCTAAAATTAACTGCAAATCTCATTAGTCAATACATATGCACTGGAGTGGAATTTTTGTACAATGGAAATGAGCTTGCCTTTTCTTCTTTTGTAACATACTGCTTTGTAGCTGACTGTAATTGCTTATTTTTATTTTTCTTAACAAAATAGCATTTGGTTTGAATTTTAAAGGATGATTAAATGCATATTTATTGATACCTCAAAATATAAAACATTTAATAAACTTGTTTGTGAGACAGAGTAAGGCATACTACATTTGGCAGAACTTTAGCCTTTCCTCTCGCATATCTCAGTCCCTATACCTATCATTCACGAACCTGAACTGGAGGGTCTCCAAAATTTCTGAGGAAAAAAGCTTTTTATGCTGTGGTGCTTCGTTACAGTGCTGGTAATTTTAAATGCGTCAAGAACTGAAATAGATAATAATCTGTACAGTGCCTAGTACTCTTTTTTTGTTTAGTAAGTTAGTTTATTGAAAGACTTGATGATTTAAGTAGAGCCTTTTTATCAGCCCTGGAAAAGATAGTTGAATGCAAACATTAATAGGTCATTTGTACTGCTCATTTTGTTTTCACTGTGAAACTGCTAAAAAAAACCCAACTATTGTATGTAAATGTTAGTCCATAATGATGATAAAGTTAAAATTCAGCTTGTGCAGTGTTCAGAAAACTTGTTAAAGTGAATGGAAAGAAGTTCAAAACTGATACAAAATGCTAGATTTTTCTGTTTTCAATGGATATATTAGTGAGATAGATCACATGGTTTTGATGAAATGTTGAGGTCTTATTTACCCTTTGAAGCTCAGAAAAATCCCATTAAACTAACAGCTGCTGAAGCAACCACACAAACTTGTTAGAGCTCAAACTTCCTGAGTTGTCATTGACAGTTTCAAACAAACAGTTCTGAATGGTCACTTTACAGAACAGCATCTTCCAGGTTTTTCTGAAAATGTCTGTTTATAAATGGGTTCTTGATGGTGATTAGCAAACTGTTTTCTTTTTATAGATTTAGTTCCTGAAAGTACAGTTGTCGTCTGTCCATCAAAGAATTTATCAAAGGAGGTAAACAAAGAAAATCAAAAGCCAGTTAGCATGTCTGATGAACACTTAGAGGTGGAGTCCCAGCTGAGTATCTCTTCAGATGAAATAGAAGAAGGAGAAATCATAAGTAGTGATGAAGAAAAATCTAAACCAGAAAGATGCTCTGAAAAACCAAAAAAGTCAAGACCGAAAAATTCTCCTGAGACACGAAATTTGGCTAGCAGTCCGCAGAATCAAAAGAGCAAAACTGTGCGTTGCAATGAAGATAATGGAAAATTTGTTTCTGTTAAAGTAAGTACAAAGAAGAACAGAGAGAGGCACAAAAATCATACTTTCAGATCTTCAAAGGATATGAAGAAAAACAAAACTGTGAGCATTGCTTGTCTTGAAAAAATAGTTCATGTTATTGTTGAACCTTCAAATGTACAAGAAATCATGCAGATGCTAAGAGCTATACGAAAGCAGATGAGGAAGAATTATATGAAGTTCAAGGTACACTTTCCAGCTCAGCATTTTCACAGGATTATAGAATCTGGTATAATAAATTTTACATCATTGATAAAATACTTGAACTTTTCCAAGATGTCTACATTAGGTGAGACATTAAAATTTAATATCTGTGATATTATAGAGTCCAAACTTAAGCAAGTTAAAAAGAATGCAATAGTGGACAGTCTTTTTGAGCAACAGGTATCAGATATGAAAAAACAGTTATGGAAATTTGTAGACGAACAGCTTGATTACTTGTTTGAAAAGATAAGGAGAATTATAATAAAACTATGTGATGTGGTAAAAGTGGGAAATGAGAGTGAGGAAAGGAAGTTTGAAAGAGCAGGAAAGCAAAAACACAAAATCAGTCATAAAAATGATGTGCAAAGATCTAGAAAGAAGTCCCTGAAAACCAGATCTCAAAAGCCTGAAGAATATATCCTTTCGAAGCAGATTGTGGATTATCAACGACCTAAGTGTCACCCTGAGAAAAATAAAACAGATGCACCAAAAGCTGCCTTTACAAAATGTCTTAACTCCATTGATAACACAAGGAATTCCCAAACCAAAGTGCACCTCTCTAAAGAGAATAATTTGCAAGGCACTCTAACTCCATTGAAGGGGGTAAAATATGAAAAGGAAGGATTTCCGCTATCCAGAGATGCTAACAAGTCTGATCTTAGTTATGAGCTTCTCACAGAACAACAAGCGTCCAGTCTTACATTTAATCTTGTAAGTGATGCTCAAATGGGTGAAATTTTCAAAAGCTTACTGCAAGGTTCTGATCTCTTGGAAAAAAATGGTGGCAGTATCGACAGACATGAGTGGGAATTCAGGACACCGGAAAAACAGTTTTTAGACAGTCATAAATGCAGAGGTAATGTGGCTGGACTGGTGCAAGAGATAGCTCCAAAGGAGGCTTGTGTGGACTCTCAACCAGTAGAAGATATTAACTGGCCTATTGTTTCACCTGTAAGAGCTCCCTCTTTAACATCTAGGCTTCAGATGTCTGTTGATCCAGACGTACTAGATGAAAGCTGTATGTTTGAGGTTGCTACAAATGCAGCTTCATGCAAAGAAGATGAATGCAGTTTGCAAAAGAATAAATCGTTTGTTTCTTCTATCCTTCTTGAAGATTTGGCAGTTTCCTTAACTATTCCATCACCTTTGAAATCAGATGCTCACCTCAGCTTCCTAAAACCTGAGAATAATTCTAGCTCAACCCCTGAGGGTGTTCTCAGCGCACATTACAGCGAAGATGCACTTCTTGAAGAGGAGGATGCCACTGAACAAGACATTCATTTGGCTTTAGAATCTGATAACTCAAGCAGTAAATCAAGTTGTTCTTCATCATGGACAAGCCGGCCTGTTGCTCCTGGTTTTCAGTGTCGCCCCAGTCTACCTATGCAAGCAGTAATCATGGAGAAATCCAATGATCATTTTATTGTAAAGATCAGGCGTGCGGTGCCATCTGTCTCGTCGGCATCTGATCACATGGCTTCAGTGAAGGAAGCACGGGCATCCTCAACCAAGAATGAGAAAGAAGAAATGAGAAGTGGGGAGAAAGAAAGGGGCAGTCAGAGCACCACAACAGCCACTGTGCAGGACACTGTCAAACCAGATCTGGTTAAGACAGATCAGTTGCCTCACTTCAGCACTGAACAAGAACAAAATCCTGCCTTACCTCAGCCTCCAAAGGAGTCGCATAACTGTGTTGGAAATGAAGAAACTACTGGGCTGCTTGGACCCTGTAGAAAATCTTCAGACACAGAGAACCATGACACTGAAAGCCCAGATGAAGGCTCTAAGCAATCTCAGACACACAAATTGAAAGTATCTGAAAAAGCAAATGAAATGGTTGTTAGATCTCAAGCTTCTTTTCCTGCTGGATGCAGCGTAGAGTCATATGTAGACTTAACAGATGAAACTGTTAGTGAAACATCATGTCTTACAGTGGAATCCACTGCAGATAACAGGACTCAGGAAACTTCTACAACTAACTCAGAGAACAGTGATAAAAAGGAAGAACTGGAAGAGTGCTCTGACGCATTTATAGACTTAACAGAAGAGCTTTCCAACGAGACTGTAGCAGGTGAATGTAATCTTGAAACAAAATCTAGCTCAAACTCTGATGTAGCATGCCAGATAATTATAGATGATAAAACTAGTAAAAAAAGGAAAAAGGAGGCTGTCAGAGATAATTCCAACTCAAAAAGGCAACGAAAAGAAACCGAATCAGCAAGTGAAGGGGGTGATGCAAGTGATGTGAAACCTGAAGAGGTAAATTCAGCACCCAAACGATGTTCCAGTAAGAAGAATGAGTTGCAGCAGAACAAGGACTCTTCTCCTTCAGCTTCGTCTGCATCATCACCCAGTCTGTATGCCAAAAACATCATTAAAAAGAAGGGAGAAGTAGTAGTTTCCTGGACAAGGTAATTTCTGATTTGATCTGTTTGATTGTTTTAGGTTTCTTTTAAACTACGTGATATACTGAAAAGTGGGAAGAAAAGATTTTTAGCTGATGATGTTATTTGGTAGCTCTACATCCTTCTGTAAAGAGTGGAGTGGGAACCTCCTATCTACGCAGGATGGCTTTATAAGACTGATGTCTTCTCTTAAGAGTACCACTGAAAGGTGCCAAAGTCTATTTTATCCTTTTTCTTTAACAGTTGTCTGGGGTAAAACAAACTTAAGAGATAACTGTTCTAATGTAATCCTGTCAGCAGCCTTTGGAAGAGAAGGTCATTTTGGTCATTTCTTAGGTAGGTTAGATCAGACTTGCCTTAAAGAAGGTGGCTTCCATGTGTCATAACCAATTCTGTCGCTTTTCCAGATCTCCCAAAACAAGAGTACTTTTTGCTTTTATTTCTAAAGCTTATATGCTAAGGTAACAAGATCTCCTACATTGAACTGTCCGTAATTTTTGTTTCCCCTGCCATTTCCTTTCCTGTCCAAAATTTCCAGCCAGGCTTGGTAGGGGATGGAAAACTTTATTGTTCCTACAAGGCCTGGAAGCATTGGTGACTGGGTAAAGGAGAGCAGCTAAAGACTCCCCTTTGCTGAGAGAAGGCATGAGAGCAAACAGTTTTCTGTATTGGGGTCTACACTGCTCAGTCTGCAGAAACGTACTGGTCAACCATTCAGCCCATATATTCCAGTTAGTAGGATGCAAGTGACAAATGAGGTGACTGTCAAAGATACGTGCAAAGTTATAGTGGTGTACTCTTATCCTTAAGAAACTATAGTTAGCAGGTTTTGCTGTTCTTGCTACAACCTGATACAATCAACACTTTATAAAGTGGCTCCTAACATTTTCAGGACAGACTTTTCTTATCTATTCAGATATAAAGTAAATTTCTGGGTAGCATTTTAAAAGAAAATCAGCTCCTTCATGGAAGAAAAAGACTCTGAAATCTAATACAATTTTTAACATGCAAACAGTGAGATAAGAAGGGATTATTACAGTTTTCCATATGAATATGATGAGGTTTTCTGTGTCACAGTCTTTGTGCATCTTTGTACTATGCCTAAAAAAAAAAAAAAAGTTTATTTAAATAACTAGTCATCACATTTTTCTTTGAAATGGAGTAAATTAAATACAATTTATTGTAATGTGCCATGCTTCAACCAAAGGTACATTGTAGCTACTGTATAATGACTGTATCTATATATGTTTTTACATATGCCTAAATTCATTAATGAGACAAACAGCAAATCACTGATGCACTTAAGAATAGACTCCTGGTCCTTTATTTTCATGTGAACAGTAGATGTGCTCCGAGTATGTTTGTTACATTAGGCTGCTTACAGAAGTCAGACACCTCTCAGTTTAGTCTTTGAATGTCAGTGGACCGTATGTGAAAGCCGCTGCCTAACCATGCAAACTGAGGCAAGTCGGCCTAGAACTGCTGGTCCCTGTTGAATTTATGAGTTCTTTTCAATTCAAGTTTAAATGTCTGCTTTAGAAGCTTAAAACTTTTTGATGACTTTGGGTTTGGGTATCCACTGTTGTAATAATTCTGCCCTTCCTAATAGGGTAGCATAATCTCCACTACCACTTGTTTGTACTGACTCTGTTACTCTGGGCTGGTAGAGGGGAGGATCCTCTAGAAGTTCATTGCTGCTGTTTGAACTCATGTTCCATAGTTCAGAAATACTCAGAATTTTATATATGCCTGTACATATTTTTTTGTGTGCATGTACACATATATATGTAATACATGTATTAATATTTTAAAAATGCGATTTTGCTATAGAAATGACGACCGAGAAATTTTACTGGAATGTCAGAGAAAAGGACCATCAAGCAAAACGTTTGTTTCCTTAGCCACTAGGCTGAACAAAAGCGCAAATCAGGTAGGTGTTACCATTCTTACATTTGCTAACAACTATGTTGCTACATTTATGATCGCAGTTCAACAAAAACCTTTGGAGATTTTTCTGCTAATTTGGAGTTGTTTTTTCCTCATATGTTTTGTTGGGGAGTTCTTGAATAAAGAACCTTAGATTCTCCCAGCTGTTACTTTTTTAAATATACATTATAGGGATATTACAGTCCCAGGGATTCTTCAGTACCTGTTTGATTGGTACCTTGAAACTGCTGTGTCCAGTCATAAGCCAGGGACAACAGGTTGGTTTCTATTATTGGATCAGCACATAGATAAAAAAGGGTAATTTGGAGAGGCCCAAAGCCTTTGCACACCTATAATAAATCAGAAAAGGATTAAAATTAGAGCTGGAAAAAAGAAACCCAGGATTTTACAGAAAGGACATTTTTAATGAAAATGGTACCTTTTTTCTTCCACTTTTTAATTAAGAAACTCCTAAAGACACAAATGTCAAATCGATGTAGAACATTTCCAGAGGTTTGCATATAACTTCACTTCAATTGCCATCTTAATCTCTGTCCTGCAAATCTAAAAAGGGAGAAACACCCATTTGAGTAAGTTAGGAAATACTCCGTGCTCAGGATTTGGCTTTTAGGATGTTGTGTTGTGTGGTTACAGAGTCTTTGCGGGGTTTAGAAGCTGTTGGAGTGGATGGTTGGGTAAAACAGTATTATCTGTGCATTTATGTTATTCTCCCCAGTTAGCTATTTGGTGGATGGTAGATATGCTATAGCAATATGCATATAGCAATATGAAACACTAACTTACAATTGAATGAGGTTGCTAAGTAAGTTGTAGCTATTTTCAACAAAAAGATGTTTGAGACTCATCTACAGACCAGTTTTGTAAAATCCTTAGCAGGCAGATTACTCCATGCTGAGCCATAAATACCTGAAGCAACAGTTGTACAAGACAGTAGAAAATAACCAATAAAATAGGCTTTTTGTGGCATACAAAATAAGCTTTTGTCCTTACATTCGAATCTTACTCACAGTTATACCTGGCAAAATTAAAGTCTAATTGACTTGAAGCCTTCATTTTTAACTCCTTGTTGTGAGGAAACCTGTGTTAAACCAGTAGCTGGCTCTAGCTCTCTGTGATTAACCTGGAGGATACTTCAGATGTCAAAGGTATAGGAAGGCTTCCTACATCCAATTAACCTGTTAATGGCGCTCCTAAAATTCTCCCCCTAAAATTTATTGGCAGCAAATAAAAAACAAAATAGTGATATTTTTTTAAAAAAACTTTATGCTGTCAGATCAGTCTGTCTTGGTAGGCAGGGAAATCTGGGGCCTTAATGATGTGTCTTTTTTTGTCCTCCATTAGGTTTCAGAAAGATTCAAGCAGTTAATGAAGCTGTTCAAGAAATCCAAGTGCAAGTAAACTTGCCACCAAGTTGCTTCATGGTTACAGGGTTTAGCTGTTACCAGCAACGATGGACAACAACCACTGCATTTATATGGTGGGATTAGTGGGAGGTATCCAAGTCAGAATACCAAGTTTGGTAAACTGATGCACTGTTGATTATTTACTTCCCTGTCCATTTTTCCTCTGAAGTGCTTTATCAGTATAACACAGAGGGAACTTTACAAGCAAACGGGCTAGGAGAGAATGTGCACGTGCAAATGAAGTATCATTTCAAGGAGGTGACATCTCCTGTGGGTTAAATGCATTCTATAAGCAAAGCCAAGGGCATGCAGTCAAGTGAAAATGGTGGCTCTTGCTTAACTTGTTGGAAGTCCTGCATATGGTGATGTTGAACTATGATTTTAAGAAGTAAAAGTGCTTTGGAATCCAGTTGGTAGATAATCGTGGGAAATGACAGGTACAACATCTTGGTTACCTTGAAACTTATTTTAAGAAGTTAGGCCTTTTTCCTTTTAAAATAAGGTAGGAGAATGATAGCAGTAATTCCGAAAGCTGCTTATCTAGTCATCAGATTCTGATGGTAAGGAATTGGTGGTTCTTGCTTCTTTGTCAGTTGCTCATAGTGGGTTTCAAGGAGAGAATCTGGTACTTGAGTGTAGGCTTTGTCTTCAACTTTAAGCCCATTATCTAAGCCATTTCTTGATGACTCCAGTGTTCAACAGAAGTGAATGAATTTCTCTTCGAGGGTACCCATCTGTCATTGACAATGGAGAAAATCTAATGCCTTGCAGTTAAAAACGTTTTCTGATGCTGTTTAAAAAGACTTAGTGTTGAATTTTGAATATTTGGGGAGGCAGTCCATGAAAAATATATTCGATTTTTTTCCTTTTTTTTTTTTTCCCCTTTGGAAAAGGCTAATAAGTTTTTCTGCTCCAAATTACATCTGGGAAAGGTACTTAAGTTAGGGCTTCAACATAATGAACATCCTATTTTGTTAAAAAAATAAATTTTTACAACTTGTTTTCTTTTTCAAATTAATTTAGAAACAGACTTCTACGGTTTTATAAAATGTGACTTTATGCTTACTTACTAACCAGGAGAAAAACTTTTCTGTAAAAACAAGCAGTTGCAAAAGCTTGTCAACTTGGCATGTTTTGACAGTAATTGTATCTATCTTTACAAATTGTTTAGTACATCAGAAAATCATTATGTTCTTTTTTAAAGAACTCTTATAACTGCTTCCAGTTTTACTAGTACATACTAAAAGTGTGTGTGTGTGTATTTATGTGTACACACACACATCTCCTATATGTTGCTGCTTTATCCCAAATTTGTGAGGAGTTGGAATTTTGGTTTTTTTTTTTTTCTTCCCCCTAAGAAGCATTCCTGGAAGTTGCACAGGTTTTTGTATTATGAATTCATTAATATTTGAGGTTTTATTCTTTACTGAGGATCGGAATTGCTGTAGTCTTTATTCAGTCAGATGTCCTGAGTTTAGTTAGACTTTGTTTAAGAGCGCCACCTAAGTGCATTGCCTTTCAGCTTGGATTAAATTGGCTTTTTTTTGGAATCCAATGACTGCTTTTTCAGTTGCAGCACAATGGTTTTTTTGTTCCCTCTCCAACTAATGGGACAGACTTCTTATTCTAATAAACCATCAGAGAGTTTCTCAGTGAAGTTGCCACTGACACCTTTGGAGTATCGTAAACGTGACCCATGGAATGGATTGTCATGCTGCCAAACAGTGGCTCGTCCTCGTTTTAGGCAGTGCTCTGGGTACTGTTACAAGGAATGACTTGAGTAGGTAATGATGTCAGCAGTTCTGGCAGTCTTCCACCTTACGTGCTTGCTTCTAAAATGTTTGCTTTTGATGACCAAGTTCATCTTCCATGCTACGCCAGCAGCGCCTAGTGATTTCAGTGGGGGATCAGTATACCTACCCATGCTTGTTCTTAACAAACGTTTATGACAATTGTTTACTTATTGGAGAGTTTAATCTAACTGAATCTGTTCTCAGAACAGTGAGTGTGCAGAGTAGCATTCATGTTTGTGGAAGAATCAGGCTCTACTAAAGAGTATTCTTTTAACCATATCCTTGGAGATCAAAACGTGCACAGTACTGAAGGCACTGAGGGAAGTAGCTTCTCTCCACTTAAGTGCTTCCTCTCTGTCTTGGAAAAGCAGGCAGTATTTTATTATGAAGTTGTTTATGCCTTGTCTGTGTTTATTTACTTTCTTATCTGTACAGGTGATGGGGGGGCGGGGTTTGACTGTTTTGGTTCTGACTTGGATTCCTTTTTTGTAAATTATGAAACTTTTTTTAATGTTCTGTCTATTGTAAGTATGTGTACAGGTTCTTACATGGTCATGTAAAATATCTGATATGTATATATATATATAAATATATGTATAAAAATAGAGAGAGCTTTGTTTAGCCAAAGATGATTTTTTTAACTATATAAAACTCCAGGTTTATTTTGTATAAACTAAATAGTTTGCTTACTGTAAGAGTAATGCAAAAAATAAAACTGTAAAATTCACACACATATGTTCTTGTCGAACAGAGGTTGGCTTGGGGTGGTTTTGTACCACTGTTTGTAATTTATTTCTCCAACAAGCATTTTGATACATATATGCAAAATGTACTGTATGTAAATCTACAGTCTTATTTGTGAAACCTCAGGAAAATGAAACCATTTTGTAGAACTGTTGGCTTGACAACTACAAGTGCTGTGAAGCAGCATTAAAATTGACTTCTGTTAGTTTGTATAAATGAGTAGCTATGTTGATGTTCTGGCCAATAAACATGGAAGTAATCAGTGGCTGCTCTGATGCAATTCCTGCTCTGAATACATACTGCTTATTTCTTAGTGGACATGACTGGTCAGAAATTGGGCAATTTCACAAACTATATCAAACTTTGAAATCACAATTAGAACCTACTACTTCTCTATTTTTTTCTAAAAACATTGGGTTACTGTTGAGTGGAACATTACAAAGGAGGAAGACTTTCCTGTATCCAAGGCTTTTCATTGGAAGAATATAGCTGGCAGCCCTTTGAGAGCCTCACTCCAATTCGCTGTTGAGGAATAGGTCTGCTTCTGTCCAACACATGTGTTCTTACAGGATTCAGTTTAAAAACTCTTAATGGACCTGGGTATTGGAAAATTTTCCAAAGTGGAAATTCAGAGAGCAGGGTTTATGGACATGTGGATAATGGTGAAATCCTAGAGCATCAGGTATTGTCTTTTGAGGGATTCCTTCTAAGGCATAGTCTGTTGCCAGCTAAGCGTAGACATATAATAGTCGGCTGGGCTATTGGCACTTCTCTTAGGTGTCAATCCAGCGACCCATAGCTATTTAGAGCAAGTTTCCTCTAATTGTCTTAACTCTAAAACCAACTGCAGAGTAATCGTTAGCAATTTGTCTTCATGAAGGAAGGTAGTGGTACTAAAGCATGCCAAGAAACAGGTTTAAGGATTTCTTAGAAGACCCTATGAAAGCAATCAAGAGGCGTTTCGGGAGCAAAACTGGCTTTTATACAAAGATGGATAAAGTTTCAGCGGTGGCCGGCACCTCCTCTCCCATCAGGGTTTGAAAGTCCTGTGTGGTGCCACCGAAAGCAAACCCATCTGAGCCGCAAGAGACAACACAGGGAATAAAATAAATAAATACTTTACCAGAAAGGAAATTGCACAACTCTTGTTAAACTAAAGAGACCCACGATTTGAATCTGCAAACTGGAACATAGTTGTTCATATTATTGAACTAATTAGTGTGGTCTTTGTTAATTAGCCCAGTCCAAAACTGTGCAGCTATCCTTGACACAGTTTAGTCAGCAGTGGGGAGCAGGGGCAGGTCTCAGCAGACAGTTTGGATGTGGGCAGCCAAACCAAACCAAACGTAACCAGTCAGGTTATGCTGTACGTGGAGCGGTTTTGGCTAAAGGTGGGTAAAATTCTGCAGTCTCATCCTGGCATTTCAGCGTGGCTATACCTGAACTGCTTCAGCAATACAATTGCACAGTATTTTATACAATTAGTTCCTGTGTATATCCTTTTCTGGTTTTTAAATCTGTGTTTCTCTGACATGAGAATGTAAAAAGCTGCAGTGCTGTAAAAGGTGTATTTAGACCTTAAGGTATATTTTGATAACTTCCTTTGCAATAGCTGCCACTTATGATGTAGGTGCTGTCACGGGCAAGGCAGAGTAAACACCCCATACTGGATTTGGATACTGGGGTTTACTGAAGAACCAACAAGATGAGAGCTTCTACCCTGTCTCCAGCTCCTGCCCCAGCACTACGTTCCCTGGGTCTGGGAAGCGTCCGTCAAGTTGTGCTGGTTCCCACTGTGCCACCGCTCACAGTGACTCATCTCGGGCATCACTGGCGAAGGTCCTGTTGCTCTGACCTCCAGAATGTTCCCTGCCTGCCCACTCACCTGACGGACCCGCCCTGCACCCCTTCCCATGCTGCCTGTTGGCGTTCACGCTATAAGCTGATTTCACCTATGGCAGATGCTTATAGCAAAGAAGTCTCCTCAGCCATCACAGATTCTTGCTCATCTCCAAATGCAAAGGACTATACTATGCTCTTGCTCTTATTCCCAATTCCTCCCACTACCCCCAGTGCCCCGGCCCTGCTTCCCTTCCACATATAGTTAATTGTACGGTCCATTAAGAAGCTTGCGTGAGCTTTAACGACACCAATTTTTCTGCTGCTAAAGCAGAAACACAGCAAATTGTCCCTCAGCAGCCTACTGGCAACCTCCCCCTGTCCCCTGAGAAAACCAAAACCTTAAACCAGGTTACCCTGAGGGCAGAGTGAGATGCAGGCAGCCTGTGCTTCTGGTGCAGTGACCTACAGGGGGGGGCGGAGGGAGGAGGAGAGGTGGGACAGAAGTGTGCTGGGCCAAGAACAGGCTGCTGCTGCAGCGAGCGACAAAGCGTGTTCTCCTGGCAGGATGGACAAATCACCGCTGCGGCAGCTCTTGCCCGGTTCTCAAGTTTTCACAGTGAACGGAGCTGAAGAGGGTGCTCCTGAGAAACCCCCGGGGAGCTCTGGAAGCCACTGGAGATGTCGGGTCAACACCACCTTCTGGTGAGGCAGCACGGAGCGCCCAGGTCTGAGTCGAAGCTCTGAGACAACAGAAGCAACAAGGTTAAAGCCTTAGGGACTTTCTGACCGAATTTGGAAAGAAGAGGCATGAAAATAAAATGCCAGTGACAGGTACGTGAAGAGTACATGGGCTTGAGAGAGAGCATGGATGGATGAGAAAGGCCTGTGGAGGTCTGGGTGGTTCGGGTGAATGTTAACACATCTCTCTGGAGCAGAAAGTGTAGCGCTACTGCCCCTAAAGCATTGTAACGTATGCGACAAACCATACATCTGCTGCATTAGACTGAGGCTAGAGGAGAGATGCTGTAGCCACCTTATCTGCTGCAGGGTAAGGCTCTGAAGGTGTATTTAAACAGGATTTCCAAGGAGACGAGTACAGCTTGTGTGAGAGAGAGGGATACACTGGTACATAAACCTGAGGTAATCCCAAGGAAGAGGTGGGGCTAGTGTCTTTTGAGAACTGGCCACTGGTTAGTGGGAAGACCTTTAGGGAGAAGAGGCTGAAGCGGAAATCAGCCATGCACTTTGCAGGATGGAAGAAAAGGGCCAGAAATTCTGGAGCAAGAGAGAAAAAAAAATGGGTATTTGGGATTTCCATAAAATGTAGGCCTGGGCAGGGCTAGGCAGCAGAAGTTGTTAATATCAGAACCTCAGCTCTGGTGGCCCTGATTTCTCACAAAATCCCATTTTGGCAACTCACCTTCCTTTTTTAGACCTTGTTTCTCACAGATACCAATTCTGAATGGGCTTGGGGGTGGCTCTTCAACCCAGCTGAAGAAGGGTTACCGTGCCAAAAGCCTGTGTTTCTAACTGAAGACTTGAGTCTCGGTTCCTGTGGCCTCCATTTTCAAAGACCCAGTCTAACACATCCTAAATTAACTCACTGGGCAATGGAGTATGAAATCGGACATGACCGATCGATCCTTGGGTATTGATTCAAAGCGAAACTAATGGAATGTAAAGAAAATGTAAGAATCTATCGTACTGTAAAGGGTGCCTATTTAGCCATTTTACAAAATAAAATTTAATTTGGGAGCTGGGTGGAGCGGCAATGTTTGAAGAACCGACTAAAACAAGGCATAGGGACGTTGCAAACTATTGCCATACAGATCAAGCCTTGAGGGAATGGCTTTGTTAGATGCCACTGACTAAAATAATTGCATGATAATTTTGGCTAGAGGCCCCATCCTATCATCTGATGATTTTTAAACCATGCATGGACAGTTTAGACTGAGTGATCTTGGCATCCAGCTACAAAGAACCGAATAGTCTGCTCAGCATACCACATCTATGCTTTGGCTTTTGGAAGAAAAAAAAAAGAGATGTCCTAGCACTGTTGAAGAAAAGGTCTCTGAGCTATAGCAACCAGCAGCGCTGCGTGCTCCTTCTGCAATGCTTTAGGATAGACTAACCAAGGGCTTTCTCTTAAGGTAAGCGGCAGAAAAATAATTCTTCTTAAGGCAGTACGGAGCAGACAGGTCCCTGTCAGACTCAAAACAATGCAAATTAAACCCAGGAGTATTTGCATCTTAGCATTTAACTTTTTCTGACAAGAAATTTAAGATTTAACTCTGCTTTTTCAAATTGCAGCTGATGAAAACCTGGCATAAATTTAATATAGAAATGGTTTGAACAGTGGCAAACAATCAAATGAACTTTAAAAGAAAGAAGTAACAAAAGTAAGAAATAACGAACCTTTCTCCTAGAGAGGTGGATTTCCATCTGGTTCTAACTGATTATGTGCATGAATTTTTGTTGTTTGCAATAACCACATAAAAATATTCGGATAGACACAAAGGTAGTCAGATGGTATAATGAGAAATGTCTCAGGTATGTACTATCTACACCAAAAGCGGTGTATCTCTAGTATACTAGGCTAGCATACTAGAATGCTAGAGTTCCTAGTCTACTAGTAACTGGAAATAATGATATCGTTGATTACTCTCTTACAGTAAACTGAAATTGTTCAAATAAGACCAGGGAAGGGAAAGATGGAAAAATTGGAAGCACATTGCTATGACAAGTTTGTAAAGTAGTTTTGGCTGATTTCTTAGAAACGCTGGCTTTTGTGGCTCTAGACTAATTTCTTTACTTCTTACACAACGTTCACCACGTCAATAATCATACTGTGGTTCTACCAGTGCAGATTTGAGGGAAAGTGCCTTGGTACAATAAGCTGACTTAGAGAGTGAATTAGACCACTCCTGCAATTACTCTCCCCTGTCGGCTGTTATAAAGGAAAGGTGAGGATAGGATTGTTTAAATACTGGTAGAAACAACTTAAGAAGCAAACACATTTGTAGAGCCGGAGTGGTATGTTTATATGCTCCTCTTCTTGTCCTCCCTTACCCCGAATGGTTGCATTCACTATCTATCTGTTCCAAAATGGGCGATGAAAATCCCTGCTGCTAGAGGAATGCTAACATTTCATCTTTGGGATTAAAAGATATCTCCTTTCCCTTTTATTCCTGTATTTACATTTTAGCATCCAACTTGGGGTTTGGGTGGGTTTGGTTGTTTGGTTTTTTGGTTGTTTTGGGGTTTTTTTTGCAGAGTCTATCAATCTCAGTGACGGATCAGCCATTCACAAGGCAGCAAATATACCCAAAGCTCCTTTGCTTAACTGTTGTGTTGCCATCGTTCAGTCACCTTTCAGGGGAAGTGGCACAGAGCAATCAGCAAATGTCACCCACTTGTACTTGGCTTCTCGAGTACTCTGGGTTTGGGAGCTCCCTCCACGTAAACGTCTGCTTCTCACTTCACTGAAGGTGAACTATTCTGTATCAGCACTTCCAAGCTTGGAAAAAAAGCTTCAACACTGTCAGCTTGAGATGTAACATTTTCCAGTAAACATTTCAACATACGAACAGCTTTACATCCACCCAACCTATGACATTGCAACTATTTGATATCTGCTCTGAATAAAATCCATATGAAGTCAGAAGAAAGATCTGACATTGTTCTTTAAAGATGAGGAAAATGGACTGCAATAGTTCCCGATAATTTTTTTTCATGTATCTTACTTCAGTGATATATGTGGGAGGGAAGGAGCGGGGAAAGAAGATATCCCAGGTGCATCACAGCACCTAAGAAATTGCTTGACTAGCTAGGTATCCTCAGTCAGTTCCCTGTGTCAAAAGGGAAGTTTATTGTGAAATTTCAAGTTTGCAGAGAAAACCCAAATCCCAGAAATGTAATAGTAAAGTCTGTAGGATGCCTATGCAGAGAATGACTGCACTGTTGGTGGCAACTAAAAATCTTTACTTACAGGGTGGATAAATACAGCCCCCAAGCAGAAACATACAACATGGGATCATATCCTATCATGGCTTAGACAGGTGTACTCTTCGCTGGGTAAAAAACTGGCTGGATGGCCGAGCCCAAAGGGTGGTGGTGAATGGGGTTAAATCCAGTTGGTGGCCAGTGACAAGCAGTGTTCCCCAGGGCTCAGTACTGGGGCCAGTTCTGTTTAATATCTTTATTAATGACCTGGACAAGAGGATTGAGCACACCCTCAGTGAGTTTGCAGATGACACCAAACTAGGTGGGAGTGTCGATCTGCTCAAAGGGAGGAGAGCTCTGCAGAGGGACCTGGGCAGGCTGGGTCGATGGGCTGAGGCCAATTGTATGAGGTTCAACAAGGCCGAGTGCTGGGTCCTGCAACACACAACCCCATGTAACGCTACAGGCTTGGGGAAGAGTGGCTGGAAATCTGCCTGGCAGAGAGGGACCTGGGGGTGTTGGTCGACAGCCGGCTGAATATGAGCCAGCAGTGTGCCCAGGTGGCCAAGAAGGCCAATGGCATCCTGGCTTGTATCAGGAATAGTGTGGCCAGCAGGAGCAGGGAAGTAATCGTGCCCTTGTACTCAGTGCTGGTGAGGCCACACCTTGAATACTGTGTTCAGATTTGGGCCCCTCAGTGCAGGAAAGATGTTGCATTGCTGGAGCATGTCCAGAGAAGGGCAACAAAGCTGGTGAGGGGTCTGTAGTACAAGTCTGATGAGGAGCGGCTGAGGGAACTGGTGTTGTTTAGCCTGGAGAAGAGGAGGCTGAGGGGAGACCTTATGCCCCTCTACAACTGCCTGGCAGGAGGGTGTAGCGAGGTGGGGGTTGGTCTCTTCTACCAGGTAATGGGTGATAGGACAAGAGGAAATGGCCTCAAGTTGTGCCAGGACAGGTTTAGACTGGACATTAGGAAAAAACTTTTCAATGAAAGGGTTGTCAAGCATTGGAATGGGCTGCTCAAGGAAGTGGTCGAGTCCCCATCCCTGGTGGTATTTAAAAGATGGGTAGACGAGGTGCTTAGGGCCATGGTTTAGTGGTGGGTTGGCAGGGTTAGGTTAACGGTTGGGCTTTATGATTTTAAAGGTCTTTTCCAACCTAAATGATTCTATGATTCTATAAACCATAACCAAGCTATATTGATAACAGTGATATCACCCAGCTGCGCTATCAATTAAAATTGTGTAAGATTTTGGGTACTGCAACCAGCCACTGTCAAAAAAAGACTAGAAATTGCACTTTGCTAAAGGTTGTGGTTTAGTGGAATTTGGGAAGTTTTGAAAGTACGGTAGCATAAAAAAATTCAGGTGCGAACCCCAAGGCAGATACGATCCCAGTTGCTTTCAGTATTTTATTGGCACGTTAGCAGAAAAAAATTCCAGGGACACAACACCAAACATGCGATGCATTCACAAAAAAACGACAAATACCCTACATTTCAACTCCTCACATTACCTGAAACTCCCCAATAGTTTGCAGAGAAGCAGCTTGGAAATCAAGCATCCGGCAGCAGAACGTGGATCGATTTGCTGGTGGATCAAAGAGATTCTGGGAAAGAGGCAGTTAGAAAGATCATCTCACGCTCACAGCTGAAAACCTCTGCATCACTCCATTATGTAATCCCCGTTTTATTTATCTCATAGATGTTGAAGTTTATAATTAAGACAAAGTCTTGGTGATTCAATAAGACTTGAAATGCATAAAATTAAAGATATTAATCCTAGAAGCACTCTTAGTTTATTGACATTAGCCTAGAACTAAGACTATTTACACATGTACAGCTATGTGTAAATTAGCTATGTATTAATTTTGGATGGATTATATCTGGGATTATATATGGGTTATATATTGGATGGGTTACATATGGGATAGATGGCACTAATAATGCTACTACCTTGGGGTACCAAATAAAACATTTTTCTCTCACAGTTATAGGATACTCCTCAAAACCTTATGAAACAAATGGAAGCCATGATCATTATATATTATGGCAAAACTATGGCAAAGCCACAGACAGTGGAACGGAGTGGGTATAGGATTAAACTGTAGTTGGCAAAGGATTTGGAAAGTGGGAAAAAATTGTCTTCTTTCCTAGTGGGAAGAAAATAGTGTAAAACTGTAGGCAGTTAAGAAGTACTGTGGCTTACAGCTGAAATCAGTCTCTCTTGAGCTTAAAATAATCTCACATTTGCATCTTTCACCAGTAATCACGAAGTCTGCATTCATTTAAAGACTCAGTAAGTAGAAAATAATGATGAACTTCTAAGAGCTCTCCTGCTATCAGAAGAATGCATAGGGAAAAAAACACCAAACAAACAACCAAAAAAACCCCCCAAAAACCCAACCCCAAACCAAAATAAAAAGGGCCATTTCCAAAAAAACCCAACCCCTGTATTGAAATAGCATCTTTTTTCTGTTTGTTTTTCAGCTATGAATTTCTGACCATGGGGGACTGGAACCTGTTGGGCAGCATCCTTGAAGAAGTGCACATCCACTCCACCATAGTTGGCAAAATCTGGCTCACGATCCTGTTCATATTCCGGATGCTGGTGCTGGGAGTGGCTGCCGAAGACGTCTGGGATGATGAGCAGTCCGAGTTCATCTGCAACACGGAGCAACCCGGCTGCAGCAACATCTGTTACGACAAAGCCTTCCCCATCTCTTTGATCAGATACTGGGTACTGCAGATCATCTTTGTCTCTTCTCCATCGCTAGTTTACATGGGCCATGCGCTCTACAGGTTGAGGGCTCTCGAGAAAGAGCGACAGAAGAGGAAAGCCCACCTGCGGGCTCAGCTGGAAGACCTGGAGCCCCTGCCCGAGGAACACAGGAGAGTGGAGAGGGAACTGCGTAAGCTGGAGGAGCAGAAGAAAGTGAATAAGGCACCCCTGAGGGGGTCCCTGCTGCGCACCTATGTCCTGCATATCCTGACCCGCTCGGTGGTCGAAGTGGGCTTTATGATAGGTCAGTATCTTTTATACGGGTTTCACATGTCCCCCCTTTACAAATGCACTCGGCCCCCTTGCCCTAACACGGTGGATTGTTTTGTGTCCCGACCCACAGAGAAGACCATCTTTATGGTTTTCATGAACAGCATCGCCGCCGTCTCCCTCTTCCTCAACATCCTGGAAATCGCCCACCTGGGCCTCAAGAAGATCCAGAAGAGCCT